AAGGACAGATTCATGCCTTTTCAAAGAGCATTAATGCCAAGTGAATGAAACTGATTTGGTCAGAATTTGCAGTGTTTTATTCACTTCAGGCTAATGGTCAAATGGCAAACAATATATTTATTCATTACCTTACAAAGGCAGAATGTGTCATGAGGTAAGAAACTATACTCACTAGATACAGCTTTGTACATATGACTGCATTTTATGGTATGTTATATCTATTCCTCAGTTCCCTTGGCTATTGCTGCACATATCAGAACATACCTCAATCTTCCTCCTCTCTGTACAATGAGGAGGTGCTTTAATGGAGGCAGATCCCTAAGCCTGATTGTTTAAAACAAAAAATGGGTGTGGAAAGAGTTTTGATCGACTGATTTTTTTGTTTTTTTATGACCTAACCTTTTACAGGTTATTTAAAGCTAGAAAATATCTTAGATTTAAAGAATATTTTTAGGATAATGATTTACTGATACAAGTTCTGTTTAACCCATAGCTGGGGGAAGAAGCTAATATTATACTTTTTTCAAACGATATTTGCACCTCAAGTGAATATAACGAACCTGACTGGAATTGGAACTCAGTTTTTTGATTTCCAATTTAGATTCATTATTCATTATACCACATGCACATCCAAGCTAACAACAGGAGAGTGTTTAGATGCTAATTCATATCTAATAATTTCACTTGGAGAAAGTAAATCTGTTTACACACAAATTTTATTAAGGGACATGATGATCTACCAAGAATATACACTGATATGCCAAAAGTCATGGGATAGCAGTATATAAAGGTAACAGTAGGTGACATCACAGTCTCTTTATGTCATACAAATTCCCAGATCTACATCAGTTGTGCTCTGATGTCTGGTGAGTTAGTGTAAATGTTGGCTATGCCTATGTCCAAAAAGGGTTGAGGGGGGTTATTTAGCTAAGGGTTGTAGGTGGGGTATTTATTTGTCAACATTTTTGTCAGGCTTCTTCAGGATAATATTAATATTTATCTTTTAAATAACATAGGTATTAAATATTAGGTTGAATTATAAGTAGTTTCCATTTTTGAACAAATTGTAATTATGAAGGTATCATTGTAATTACTAATCATACATAGCATCTAAGAATACATTTAGAGTACACTATCATACCTTACTTTTTGCCCAGCAGTGGCAGTGTACACAGTGGATGAAAGGAAAAATGTTATTCTCCTCCATGATAAGAAAAGGCTACATGCAGCAAGAATTCTCCTCCATGATAAGAAAAGGCTACATGCAGCAAGAATAGCACAGGAAAGTATTTTGGTCTATTCTACCCTACTCAGCATATTCACTTAATCTTTCAACAACTGATTAACTTTTTTGATTGCTGCAAAATGCTTTGATGGAGAAACTTTTAGTAAAAACCAGACTCAAGAGTTCAAAATCTTTCAGATGAAAATCTGCATAATTTGGCTCAAAAGGTATCAAAGACATGTCAATAAGTGACAACATGTCATTACAAATATTGATTGTTATATACAAGGTGGAAGAGACATACCTCCCAGATCTTGTATAACAGAATAAAATGTAATTATTATTATTAAAAAAAAAAAAAAAAAAAAAAAAGTTCAAGTTCATAAACAAAATGGAAATGATTTATGACAATCTAATTATATATATATATATATATATATATATATATATATATATATATATATATATATATATATATATATTATAAATTTAAATATTATTAGTGATACTCATATTTGAATAGATACTAAACAGTATATTTATTTTCATCTAAAGAAAAATCTGAACTCTCCTGCAGGATTCAAACCTGCATCCCTTTGGGTAGTGGGAAGTGTCATTACATCTGACATGCTTTAATTGACTGCCACAAAGAACTTTTGCCAATCAAGCAAGGCTGAATAGTGCCTTTAAGTGAAATCCTTGTCAAACTATATATTTAATACCTGTTTTGAATAGGATAATGAATAAAATTGATATATTTATAAACAGGGATTATTTGGATGAGGTTATATATATATATATATATATATATATATATAGCTTCATTATCACTGCTATTGTATAAGTAGTAGTAACAGTTTGTAGACATTTTTGTAGCTAGAGTTGTGCTGTAATCAACTTTTAAGTGAATGTACAATGTTCTACACATTGGCCAAATTGCAGTCAATGATATGCAACTAATTGTAACAATTGCACTTACACATATATGTTTTTTTTTTGTTAGAGTTCTTCATCAAAGAAAGCCAATTATGAAATTTTAAAAAGTATCCAAATATATTGCAAACCTATACTTTCAATACAGAGAAGAGTATAAATATTATGCTTTAACATCATTTATTCCCATCTTAAGAGAATTGGCCATTTTCTACTCAAAGTACAGATTGTGTATGTGGTACATCAACTGCTTGTACTGATTACAATGGTAAGAAAGCAAGCAATTATGAAAGAACAGAGATGAGAAAAGGAGGTAGAAGGTCTATGGTTCATAGGAGAAAAGAGTGCATTGGCATTGGTGATTATGTGTTTTAAGAGTGAAATGAATAGTCGAACATAGAGATTGCTTAACAGAGGGGAAGAATCTACTTAACACACAGTTTTTGATAATCTGGTGGTTTAGATTAGTACAGGATCTCTCTACTTGAGCTACTTTAAGATGTAAGATGGTAGGAGGATGTTATAAAAAGAAAAAGAAATGATATAGATGTAAAAAGACCGCATTTTCATTATAACAATCTTCCCTCTTCTCAATAGACAAATAGAATGAATGAGAGATGAACAGAGATTTTAATGAAAAGCTTGGAGATGCAGTAGACAGTATTATATATATATATATATATATATATATATATATATATATATAGTACATTTGAGTATTCTAAGTCTTGATGGATTTCTTTACTGCCAATGGCAGCTTAATAGCAGCTAAGTAAAACTGGCATTTATTTTTTTCATTTGCTCAATTCAATTTTTGGGTGGGAAAGTGGGGGGGGGAGTACAAAATCCTTCCAAATCCAAAGCCTTGTTGGAGAGACACCTTCCCGATTGACCAGGTTTTGAATTCAAAATCGTCCTCCTAGATCAGTTGCCACCCAAGGTTATACAAATTTCTTAGCTTCCAGATAAACTTAACAAAAAAGAAAAGAAAAAAAAAAATGAAAATACATCACTTCAACTTCAATTAGTAAAATTCTAGTGTCAATGACAAGAACTTAATCAAGACTTAGGTAATTCTATCCTCCAACAATTTGCAAAATCATTTTCTATTTCATTAAGTTTCAAATTCTGTTGGGTAAACTGCCAAGTAATACTGAAATGGACTGAAAATTTTACTATGAATAAGAACTTTCAAGTGTATAAGATATCCCTACCTTTATAAAAAAAAGTACAATGTTCAGAGTAATTAAATACTGAACTTAAAATTAGTCACTCATGAACCTCATGTAATGAATTATTTCATACCAGCCTGACAATCCCAAAATGTTATGTATGCTCTTCTCCCAGGAAATTAACACTAATTTGAACAGATTAAAGAAATCTCACTCTTCCCTCTTGATTAATTACACATACACTGTGCCTCATATTAGCCACTTCATACATATTTTACTGATATAAGAAAATGATTGGAATCTAAAAGTTTATTTGCTGAATGATAGCAACATCTATCTGTGCATTTAGGATGGAAGCCAGTTTGTTTTGAACAGATGTAAACAAATGGTAGACATGTATAGGAAAGGTCCTGAATTCCCAAATCGCAAATTAACAGCCATGTTGCAAGTTTGAAGTTTAAAAATGTGTCAAAGGTGATTTAACAAAAACAGAAATATTTAATATCTTCAGCATTTGCAAAATATAAAAGTAGAAATTGAAAGGTGATTTTGGAAAACTCCAATGTAGGTCTTATAAGGCGAAATTGAGAACTTTGTACAATGTCAAGAGAGAAGGTATAGAAAAAATCCATCAATAAAGTTATGAAATATTTAGAAATGACAGTGAAATGAAAAGCACAAGGTAGCTCCAAATCAAGTGGAAAACACAGGAGACTGAATTGTATAACTGGATGGCAATTGATTTGTCAATAAAGTGAAGGTGTATTTATATTTCTGAAATGAGGTATTCTAACTATTTATATAATTTGGACTTCTGTCCTCATCTTTATTGCCATATTCACAACATTTCAGTCATTGCATGCTCTGGCTTTCTTCAGGTGATATCCAATGGAATATCAAACCAAACCCTTTTAGTTTTTAAGGAATCTGTATATGCTAAGCCACAAAAATCTAAGCCAGCCAAGCATAGATATGAATCCAATAAGGGAACCAGTAATACAGAAAGCTAGAGATAAACAAAAATTGCAATATGAGCTCTGGTAAAAAATGATAACTGAGACATTAGGTTTATAAGTCCCCCCAAAATTAAATCATTGATGTTTCCAAGGACAATTGGCCCATTGGAAAAAGTGTTGGTTGAAGTAATTCAAAAAGTGACTTGACCCAAAGAGTTGCAAGTTCAAAACCAGGAACAAAAACTTGGAGAATTGAATTACTAAAGGAAATTAACTGAAACAGAATCCCAAAAAGTCATGGCATGTGGAATTAGAACAATCTACCCCCATGGACTAAAAGGGTCCAGTTCAAAATTCCAATGTATATCACCTGAAGAAGGCCAGAGTGTACAATAGCTGAAATGTTGTGAATATAGCAATAAAGATGAAGACAGCAGTCTGAAATATGTAAATAATGTAAAGTGGTGGTTTGATTGAATGATTTTCATTTTTTTTATGGTTTATCAACCCTTTTCAGGTCATTTCTTTCAGATAATTATTTCTTGATACAAGTATTACTAATTAACTCATAGCTGGGGGTAGAAGAGGTGGATTCATACCTTTCCCAAGTGTATTTGCACATAACTGAATATAATAAATCCAACTGGAATTGGAACTCACCTCTCCAAGTAGCAATTCCGAGCCATTATCCCTTACACCACCAGCATACCCAAGCTTACAGCACCTGGCATTTCCAAGCGATCATCCATCAAGGTACTTTCTAGGCTTAATGTTGCTTAACTTTGGTGATTGTACAGGAACTGGTGCTTCAACATGATGTGGTCATAATCCTTGGAGGTGGTTGGATGTTTGGGATAGGATTATAGGTGGTATTGGTGGACCCATAGCAAGTTCCAGATGGTGTTAACATGATATCTCAAACGTGCATTTTACAACACATTTTGAATCATGCTTTAAGAAGCCAAATATTTTCTAAAAGTATTATACACAATATTCCATTAAAGTTGGGAAAGAAAACTAATGAATAAAATGCATTTCAAAGACACTCACTTGAAGAAGTGACTTACTTGTTCACTAGACTTTAACCCAATTAAAATCATGTGGAGGTTTTTGAAGAGGAAGAATTACATTGGCAGACAATAATTTACCAGTAAAAATGAACTTTAGAATAATATTTGGATGCTGTGTAGTCTATTCCATATGACAATACAACTCTCAAAAACAATTTAATAAACTTCTAAAACTAGTTTCAGAACATACAACTCACATTTCACATTAATATAGTCTTCATAACCGTTAAAGTTTCTTGGAGTTTTGGTAATCTGGTCAATAATACAAGAAAATCTGGCAAAATTAAAACTTGCCACATTGAAAGAGTGGCATGTATACGATATATGAAATATCTTGTATATTAATAGTGCAAATATTTCTATGAATTTTTCACTAGTTTTCTAAAAGTTTGGAAAATTAAGAGTGGAAGATGTAATGTTTTCTATCAATGATACTTGCCTTAATTGATTAAGGACATTATATTTTCACCATATAAAAATCAAATATCAAGATGGGCTAAAAGAAATGTTAGGTCAATAGTTGTAAGATTAAGTTTTTTTTCTTTCTTTACTGTCAGAAAGATTTAGTTTGTTAGTTGAAAAATAAAATAAAGCTAATCAGGGAATAGGTTGAGTTGGAGTAAGTCTACACTAATATGAAGAAATCAGATTTTTTTTCCAGGTATATTGGATTCAAATGCAGTTGGTACTAAAATGCAAACAATTACTCCATTTTCTCCCCTACTGTCAGAATTTATTACAAGTAATAATTCTTAGGCTAATGTTTTCCATTGACAAAGTGGAAAGATTAAATTGAATCAATTGCTAATGCTGCTGCTAGAAAAGTTGGTTCACTGTGTTGTACTAGACAATTTTTCTCACCAGAATCTGTCTTACTCATTTATAAATCTACCATTTGTTTGTGCATTGAATATTATGGTCACACCTGGTTTGGTATTTCTGCTATATATTTAGAGATTCTTGACAAAATACTGTTATAGTATCAGACATCTCAGCTTCAATTACTTTCTCACCACTAAAATATGGCTTCCTTGTGCCATTTTTATAAATATTTTCCTGGTAATTTTTCTGTCGAGTTTTTCTCTTTGGTACCTAGACTATAAATTTGAGTATACTACTGGAAAAGTGGCAAGGTCTCATCATTTTACAGTTGAAATGGCTGCTGGTTGGGAGATAGTATGCACTGGCCATACAAGGACATCATATTAAAGCTGTTTTGACTGTTACAAAATGTGTTGCATATCCGTTGCTTTTTTTTTTTTTTAAAAAAAAAAAAAAAAAAGAAAAAAGTTTTCATAAATTTTTAATTCTTGTTGATATAAGCCTATCTGCACCTTTGAACAATGAAGGCAATTGTATAAAATTGGAATTTAATATTTAATTATTCAAGAAGTTTTTTTATTTTATTTTTTTCTTTCATTAAGTTCTTTTAATTGATTGATTTGTTTATGGCATTTGTAGGTTACTTAAAGCCCCAAAATATTTTTAGATTGTAAAAATCTTATGCAGAGGGACATGTAAGGAAATCTTACACAGAAGGACATGTAAGTGAATACAACGAACCCAACTGAAATTGTAATTTTCAGTTCCAAGTTATAATTTATTACACCACCCACACATCTAAGCTGATTGTACCTGGTATTCCCAAGCATTCACCTATCTAGTTAACTTCAGTGATTGTACAAGAATCAGTGTTTCAACGTGATATGGCCGTAATCCTTAAGTACTTTTGAGTATATTTTTGGAATTTTTCAACTTGTAAAATAAACTGGGAATTTTTGATTCCTGGAACAAAGTAATCATGCTGTAGAGAAAATGTTTTGAAAAATAGTAGGCATGCCATACCAAACAAGTATCATACAGGTTGAGGGGAAAAACTGAAGGAAATAATTGTGACTGTGCTTGTGTTTGGTACACAATGGTAGCAAAGTTTTAGCAGTGCTACTTAGGTATGTGATCCATGTGCATAATTCTTTTTAAATATGTGATCTACCTTAAAGAAAATGATCTACATGTGCAATAAAAAATTGAGATGTGTACTGTCCAAACATTTTTAATCTTATAGATTTCATTTATTAGAAAATTCTGCGATCCAAAGCCCAAAATTTATTTATTCCATTTCTGAATGATGTTTAAACTGTTTACAGCCAGTGATAATTTTAGTTAAAATAATCATTTCATTTATATATTTAGTTATTCTTTTTTATCAAATAGTATTATTTGATTAGTATATTATTATAGTATATTAAATAAAGACTACTACTTTTTCTTACCTTATTCTGTATATATCTATTTTTAATGTATATTATAATATAGAGAATTTTCTCAACTTGTAGATATTACACTTTAGTGATGTGTTGTTCAGGCAGATCAGACTCAGAAGGTAGATTACATAAGTAGCACCATTTTAGCAATAAAAAAATTCCCAAATTATTTTGTAGCCAGATGGTATGTTTAAGAATATACATTTGTCAGCATTTTGCATCTGCCAGATAATCTTGTAGCTTTTAAATAGTGCTTAAAAATAGATCAGGTATTTCGTTTAACAGTAGGTATTCATTTTAAAGAAACATGCATTAATAAAATGTCTGCAAAAGAATTTGAATCAAGAGACCAGATAGTTAAATGTTTCATTTACTCATCAGATGGCTTGCCTTGATAGTTAATTATACAAAATAAAATTTAAGTATAAAGAACAGTGCAAATTCTTTCCTTCCTTCCTGAAAGAATTAGTTTGTCTTTTCTTTTTTTTTTTTAATAACCTAATTTCTCAGTGTCCAACTGTGGTTTCCTGACAACTCAAATATGCTAATATGTTAGCAACAAAATGCTAAAAACCTCACCTATGAGGTCAAACCGACTAAAAGATAAAGAGGAAGATGAAACCTGAAGAGGAAAACCCCAAAAGAGGAAAGGTTAACATCACTAGCCACTTAAATTACATACAAAGGATTAACTGATTTTAAGTGTTGACTTTTCTAAACAAAGTTAACAGATCTTATGGGCTGGAGTAGACAAACTCATTAAATTCAAGTTGCTTTTATGCAGAGCCATGAACATGAGATTTACAGAAAAGTTAGTGAAGGGGGTTGACAGTAATCAGAGTAAGGGAAGAGACTATATAAGAATCAGGAATTCTATCTACTCTCAGCTTAAACAATGAATACTTAAGCATTCCCCTACTAATCTCATTTTAATGATGACATACAATAACTATATACCTTGTCAAAAGTGAAAACTACTTAACAATTTACAAGATTTTATTTCCTTTGCAATATTTTCACTCTGCTGTATTTATAAAATTGAAAAATAATTTACAAATTCTTTGGAACCGAACCAGTAAAAAAGAAAAAAAAAAAATGACATACTTCCCAAAATTATTACCATAGTGTAAAAGATAAATGATAAATGTACAAAAAGTTACAATGAGAAAGAAGGTGTACAAAATACATATTTAGTTTTTACTCCATAATTTAAAGTCTCATTTTAAAGAAGTTTCAAAAGGTGAAGAGGAACTACAAGGAAACAATTGCTAGCAATTAGAGATAATTGAAATTTCTGGGACACAATAAGGAAAGACAACTTGAAGAATTTAATTCTCACAGGATATTCTGAAAGTAAAAGAAGCAGGGCTAACAAATAAACAACATAAAAATTAGGAAAAGAGGAATGGTAAATGATCAAATGTTAGAGCAACAGAAGAAAGTCGTGGAGGGTCACTATTACTCACATCCTGAAAAGATGTGACGTATAAAAAATAAATTTCAGTCAGATGTAGAAATTGAGGACTTAATATTTTACTATTGCCAGCAAATTAAAATTATTCTTCTATATGTCACATCCCTTCAGGACGTAGATGATCATGGTTCTCCACAACTTCCTATCCAGTGTAGCTCTTAGCAGTTTTTCTCCCTATGTTAAGGCCCTGTTCCTTCCAACATCCCTACAATTTCTAAAAGATTGCTATGGAAAAAATGCTTGAAAGGAAATTTGCAGTTCATAGATTATAAATTTGTATTGAACAAAGAGTAATCTAAAATTCCAGGAAAGCTGACACAGCAAGAAACAAAAGCATAATAAAAAATATAGTAATTGTAAGTTCAATCCCTGGGCTGAGCAGTGTGTACTTGGACTCAGTGGAAACTGGGTGAGCAATAACTGAGCATCACTAAGATGAGACGAAATATCCCTATACATGGACAGAGGAATAAGAACAATCTACTCACATAGATTAAAATTCCCTGAAGATTACCAGGATTTACAATCATTTGATGAAGACTAGAGGGCACAATGGCCGAAATGTTGTGATAAAGGTCCATGTGTAAATAATGTACTGTATGTGCTTGAATATAGAGTAAGTTTTTGTGATCAGCTTTTTATGCAAAAGGTAAGAGGTATTTTGTGGAACAGACTTCCACTAAACTCTTAACCTGTTCAAGTCTAGGGTTAACTGTTATCTTCCTCACATATCCCCATAAACTGTGCCTTGTACTCTACCTCGAGTGGCTCTTGGCCCTTGTACAGAGTGAAAATCATAAATATAAAAAGTAGTTTTGTAAATATAAGTTGTCATTCATTGAATGCTTCACTGTTGTGGCTTTCTCTTAAACTAATTTAAAATTAAACTGCATTAATTTTCAATTTATGTAATGGATTCGAATTCCAGTTGAATCCATTACATTAACTTACATGCTAATACTCTTGGAAAAGGTATGAATCCTCTTCTCCCTCCAGCTATAGGTAAATAGTAGGACA